ATCTGTCTTTCTCTGTCTCTCTCTCTCTTTGTGTCTCTGTGTTTCTTTCTGTCTCTATTTCTCTATGTGTGTGTGTGTCTGTGCTTCTGTGTCTCTCTTTTCTCTCTGTCTCTGTCTGTCTGTCTGTCTGTCTCTGCCTCTCTCTCTCTCTCTGTGTGTGTGTGTATGTCTTTCTCTCTGTCTATGTCTCTCTGTGTCTCTCATGTCTCTCTCTCTGTCTTTCTCTCTGTCTTTCTCTCTCTCTCTCTCTGTATGTGTACCTCAACCAGAAGAAGCAACAAAGTACAGCCTAATCCACAGCAATTATACTGAAATCAGAAAAAAGTACAGAATGAAGAAGTGAGCAATATTTGGAGAAACTAAAAGTATCTCCACAGAATGTTAATTTAGAAATACTCATTCCTTTAACATACTATTCAATCTAACCATCTAAGCTATCTATTGCTCTGTCTTTTCCGTTTTAGTACAAGGTGTTATTTCAATACGTGTTTATAAAATGTGCTTAGATTTTTAATACTGTATCACATAAGTGCATTGGAGCATTAAAAGCAGGTAAAGAAAACAAAAAAGCAAGACAATCTATTGATATTAATGACCTTTTCAAAGGTTCACGTTGCAATTATGACCCTTGCAGCATCCCCACGATTACGGGATTTAATTATTTAACTTTTCTTCAGAATTAAATAGAATGAGTGAAAAGGGAAGGAAGAATATCCATCTTTGTATTTGTTTTACAGTAATAACTTTTGGTCTTGAGGGAAATTACTTGTTATTAAAATTCTCCATTGTGTAGTTGTATGGTAAGGGCTACCTACTATAATTTGGACTTTTGCTTTCTGGTAAAGATATTTTTCACTTTCGTTGAAAAGGCAGCATTGCCACCAGCTGGGAAATACCTGAACTGCACCAGATCTTGCCACCCGTCAGTCCAGTCCGATAGCTCAACAAAACAGCTGAATCCAGTTCTTTTTAAAAAAAAAAAAAAATCCAAAATATCTATTTTCATTTGAGGAATACGCCCTCCAATGATGAGTCACGGAGGTGAATTGCTTTTGACCCTCAACTGAAGAATCTGTTAAGGTTTTCCAGGCTCTGTTCTCCAAATGTATGAAGTGAAAACATGAGGGTTTAAATATCAAAAGTCACTTGGTTAAAAACAAAATTTCTAAATAATGGGTACAGGTCATCCTTGACGTACAACAATTCATTTAGTGACCATTTGAAGTTACAAAGGCACTGAAAAAGTGACTTATAAACATTTTTCACACTTATGACCATTACAATATTCTCATGATCACGTGATTTGCATTCCGATGCTTGGCAACTGACTCCCATTTATGATTGTTGCAGTCATGTGATCCCATTTTGTGACCTTTGGACAAGCAAAGTGAATGGGGAAAACAGGAATTATGAGCCTCGGTGGTGTAGTGGTTAGAGTGCGGTATTGCAGGCTACTTCTGCTGACTGCTGGTTGCCTGCAGTTTGGCAGTTCGAATCTCACCAGGCTGTAGGTTGACTCAGCCTCCCATCCTTCCGAGGTGGGTAAAATGAGGACCCAGATTGTTGGGAGCAATAGGCTGACTCTGTAAACTGCTTAGAGAGGGCTGTAAAGCACTGTGAAGTAGTATATAAGTCTAAATGCTATTGCTATTTTCCTTCCTTCCTTCCTTCCTTCCTTCCTTCCTCCCTCCCTCCCTCCCTCCCTCCCTCCCTCCCTCCCTCCCTCTCTTATTTCCTTTCTCATTCTCATTTCTCATTCTTGGTGGCACAGTGGTTAAAGTGCAGTATTGCAGGCAAAAACTCTGCCTACTGCCAGGAGTTCAATCCTGACTGACTCCAGGTTGACTCAGCCTTCCATTCTTCCGAGGCTGGTAAAATGAGGACCCAGATGGTTGGGGCAAGAGGCTGGCTCTGTAAAGCACTGTGAAGTGGTATCCAAGTGCTGTTGCTATTCCTTCTTTCCTTCCTTTTTTCCTGCCTTCTTTCCTCCCTCCCCGCCTCCCCCCTTCCTTCCTTCCTTCCTTCCTTCCTTCCTTCCTTCCCCTCTTGTCCCCTTTCTCATTCTCCTTCCTGGTGGCATAGTGGTTAGAATATCATATTGCAGGCTGACTCTGCCCAATGCCAGGAATTTAATTCTCACCAGGCTCAAGCCTTCCGTCCTTCCGAGGTGGGTAAAATGAGGACCCAGATTGGTGGGGGCAAGTGGCTGACTCTGTAAACTCTTTAGAGAGGCCTGTGAAGCACTATGTAGTGGTACATAAGTCTAAGGGCTATTGCTATTTTCCTTCCTTCCTTCCTTCCTTCCTTCCTTCCTTCCTTCCTTCCTTC